AAAGTCAGTATTTTATTCCAAATTGTAGTCGTTTCAACAGTTTTGCAAAAGTTGCATACAACTAATGGTGTTTCTTTCGGGGTACTGACCTTGAAAACCACTTGACCTTCCAACTATGGATAATTTCTTCATGCAAATCTTCCATGAGAGACAATTTCTCTAAGACTAAAAGTTTTGCGTGCAAAAAGGCAATATGATGCGTAAAAACTTATAACCATATTATAGAAACACTTGGATTATTTGCTAAGTATATTTAAATGTTGCTCAAATCCTTTTTGAAAATTCAGTAAAGCTTTTAGATTGAATTCTTCTGCATTTTGTGTAATGGCCTAATGAACATATCCCACGATTCCTGTATGGTTAAGTGTTATAGGGAGATAATTGAATGATATTGTTATGTGGTACTGAATAGTCCAAAAATATACCCAAGCTTTACCTAAGCCAGTGCATCCGAGTGTTTCTATTGACAAAAAAATTCGCCCCTCAAAAAGTTTTTGCTCCTAAAATCCTGTATGTACAAAGTGTGTGTCACATCACATTAGAGAAATGAGCTAGATTTGTTATTTTTATAGGAATGTGTAGTCACACCACTAGCAAGACTGGAATGGTTCTCTTTATTTTAGTTATTATTTCTTTAGCTTCGCGGTCAAGTCTCGACTTTGTCGTTACCTTAAGGTGTTGCTACACTAAAAGCATCGATTCTTATCGATTATGTAGAATCGATTGTTGTAAGATTAAACCAAAATAATTAATTATTATTATATCATCGATCAGCCAGAGTTTATGCTCAATGTGATCGATTTTGGTGATTTTGATCTATGTGACGTCGATTGTGTAGTAATGCCCTTAAAATAATTCCCAACTTTTTTATATTAAGTCTTTTAACAATAATGTTCCTCGAATTTTAATGCCGTGTCTCGATTAGCGACGGTTCGATATAGATGTCGCATTTATTAACTACCTAATGTTGAAATATCAGACATATTTATATTGGGTCTAGGTTTGTTTTCGGTTGTGGTCAGACTATGACGTTCATCGCTTCAGTGTCTCGGTGTTGGCCGAGTAATTTTATGTGAATGTGGATCAATCTTAGAGCTTTATCAAATTTGATAATAATTTACGGAAGAATATTTATAAAAAAAAATTAAATAAATAAATAACCGAACAATGAAAAAAACTTTGTAGGAAACACCTAACACTGTTTAGATAGATTATTCCTGCAAATTCGTGTAATGTAGTTGGTTTTTTATCTATTTTAAATGATGCTAGTTGTGTAGTTGTCGGTAATGGTATGCCTTCGCATTGAGGCGGAGATAGATATAGGTGGATACGGTCCTAAGGCTTATAGTACGAATCTGATAGTTACATGTTTTTTAAATATAACTGTGTAATGAATTAAAAGAATCCTCGTTTAGATACAAAGTGTAACTATTTAGCATAATATTCGATGTGTCCTTTAGTAGGTGACGGATAGTTTGTATCGATGTTTATAACCGCCATGTGCCCACGTCCGGGCGTCGTATCGCGAGCACAAAATACTCTAAAAACTAAACAATTCTTATTAAAAAAAAAGTTTTAATCACTTTTTGATACTGTGGATTCGTTAATCCGTTGGGTGTTAAACTATAATGGGATGTTTATTTTTTTTATATTAGTTGCAAATGATAGTATTTGATAGAATGAGTGTGGACAATAACGGTGGTTAGTCCTATTAGATAGTTTATTGTGATATATGTTTGAGCCAGTCGTCTGTAGACGCGAACGGTCAGCCACCATTTAATCTTACTCTACTAGTTTCTTAAGTTTAACATTGCTTCTACGAGGTTTTGCCGTAACACGTAGGCAGATTGTTTTTTTTTTCTATTGGGTATTTAGTGGATTTGATATTTTGAGCCATTGTTTAGTGTGCATAGACTACTAATATTTTTGCTATTTGTCAATACGCGAACAGTGAATAGTTCTGTCCAATTTATAGGAATGGCATCATGAATTTTATACTTGAGGACCAAATCTGGTTTTTTTGTATTCAGTTGTGTGTTGAATAAGAAAAGAGGTAATACACAAATGAAAAAAAATGTGTCGTAAACTCGTAACGGATAAAATACAGGATTTATTTTGCCAGTTCCTCTTAAATGTAAGTGAGAATTTCTAAAATATTTTTCTAGTTGATAAGTGTTGGTGAATTAATTTTTTACATATTTTAGGTAATTGGTGTGCAAGTATTAAACAGTTTTTTTATGAAACAGCACGGGGAAAAATTGATTATTATTTTTCTTTATCTTTACTTTTTTCTCTGAGGAATTGAAGCGCCACTCGGATTTGTTAGGGCATACGTAATATAGTTTATACCGTGGTGCTACAACACTACTTGTCAACACCAATAAGTATATTTTATTATTATAATTTAAGTTTTAAGTGACAGTGTTTATTCGGTTTAACAAGACGAATGTAATGGGATATTTTTAAGTCATTATTTGTTCAGTGTTTGAAATCTCACTACATTTAGTCCGATAGCAGTGAACGTCTACATAAAAAAAATTGCCATAACATTGTATTTGCGAATACGCTGAGCTTGCGAACGGTACCCAGCTCTCACTAGAGAGTTGTAGAACATTACAATGCAACTATTTTAGCATTTCCTTCGAACACTGCCACTGTTGAATATGCCCATTATTACCTGCATTCTGTTTTTATTATCATTGTTTCTTGTTATATTTTTGTTGTTTTTAGCAAAGCTTTGTAGGCGCGAATACTATTTTTAATATAAAAAAAATACATAGATTGATGATCGCTAGTCCTTATCTCATGTATAACTTTGGATCTGTCCGTGTAATAAAAAAATAATAGGTGTTTTTAAGATACTTAATGAATATATATTAATGGATACAAAATATTACTGTCTGTGGTGAATATCGAATTTTATGAGCTTATTAAAACTTAATTCCGTGGTATTGGTATCGCGATGGAAATCGTATTGTGGTGTGCTAATAAATGTATACTTTGATAATGCACGTCTCTAGACGCCCGCCGCCAGATGTCACTGGAAACGGTTTTAATATTTTTAAATAAAACCTTCATACTAAATATGAGAATGTCCAATTTTAAAAAGATAATTTATTTTAATCTATTTCCTGTGGCAATTTTGGGGGCTAGCACGTTTTGAATGTAACTCAAATAGCTTTAAGTATACGAGAAATAAATGTATGTTTATCCAAATGTTAGCTTCGTCTTAGAAAATGCACAATTTAATACCGTTTTGTAATCATTATTGTCATAGGATGCTATGATACTCTGTCGTTTCTGTAATAGAGTTTGACTCTGAAACACTTTTCTATAGCAAATGTCTATAAATGTTACCACGTAAAAATTATACGTACGTATGTTGAATGTCCAATCAATACATAATAATTGTTAATTATAGATGTGTCCTAAAACAAACTATTTTATAATTGGCTCATTTTTGTAATTGCTTGTAACAAAAAAAACTCGATATTTTTACCTCAACCAAAACGTCGAATGTAGTTTTATTTTTTTATGAAAATTAATAATTAAACGATTCGCTTTTTATTGTAATAGATTATTAGATATGAGACGCGCATTATCGAAAAGCGGGTAAAACACTAATTTTTCAAATTAAAGAAAAAAAAAATGTATCGATGCTATGTGTATTTCATAAGATGCCAACTTTAGCTCGCATTGGACCAAGGATATAATAAGATTAGCCCACATCACATGCTAATGGTACCTATAGCATTTGAAATAGATGGTTTAATAAAATAAAAAATAATAATAAAATATTTTGAAGGTTACTTCTGTCTTTCTTCATGTTAGAACGTGTATACATTACAGTAATTTTGTGATTAAACGTTAGTTGTACGTACGCAGCATGTTGATCAAGTGACAGACTGATTTTAGGGCAGATGTTTGCAGCGGCAGAAGTCGCGAGGTCTGCCCTTACACAGTATTATAGGGAGGGTAGTTATGTGCAGTATTTATTCTATACCCAAGCTGGTAAAATGTGTGACATTATTAAACGTACGAACGCTATCTTCGTACTTATTGACCAAAGCATATCCAATGAAGTGAATGAATGTTATGAGGAAGCAATTTGATTGGTTGAAATCTGTATTGTATCTGTGCTTAGCGTGAAATTTATTCTTATATATTGAGAGAAATATTTAGTGATGGCATGCTTATTATTAAGTAAGTGAGAACACTAGCAGCTTAGATATTTTGCCAAAAAGAGACATAAAATCACTAAATAATTTTCTTTCTCTTTCTTAAGCACTTTGATAGTGATGTTCCAATATCGATGTTATCGATTGTCGATATTCAAGTATGCACAGCTGATTCCGATTTTTTTATGTACCTGTGTAATTCAAATTATTATTGACACAATTTAATGGACTGCACTTATGAATTGATTGTAACATTATTACGACACTAAGCACATAACTACCCCTATAATAATAATGTAGAGAAAGAAATAAAATATCCATTAGGCGTATCGGTGTTATGAGTCTAGTTCACGATTTATAATATATATTATTGAGAAAAATAAATAGTTTACTATGCCAATTCATGTTCAAACGTTGTGAAAAATATAAATGTTAAATGTTGTCCTACTTTCGACATAGGATATTGTTTATATATGGTATTTGAGTAGTTAATGCTAGATGCATTCTTGATTTTTTCGTACTAATGTTTTGTTACTGTTTTGGCACTGTATTAATTACCTTCTGACAAAAAATATATAATGAATAAAATGTTTTGTGCAGTTTTATTTCTTCTTTTACCTGTTTCTAGGAGATGAGATAGCAGCTTTCTTTTTGAATATACTGATATGTTGAGGAACAATGAAGAAGTTCTACAAAATTTTTTGCACTTCCTAGATGGCGCTTTTGTAGTATAAGCTCCTCCAACTCATATAAGTGCTTCCAAAAAACCTATATAAATTTCTATTATGACCTAAGCTTGTAAAAGGTTGAAATAACATTCAATTTAAACAATAACATAATTTATTAACATTACATACCTAATATAATCTACAGTATACAATAAAATCTACATACAATAAATATACACTTAATCATCAAACTTTAGTGCAACCTTTCCTAATTTTCCTTTAGGCACGTTTATTGAGGACAAAGTTTCAGTTATAATGCCCGTGGCAACAGTAACATTATTTTCTCTCACTGTAAATGGCTGGCCTACGGTCATAACCATGTCTTCCAAAAGAGTTAGGTACACTTCTCCGTGATCGCCTGGCATCATCATTTGTTGTGTTGGTTCTGGAAGAATTAAGGATTAAGGTAAGTCTTCATCATCATTGGCTGAAATGTCCTTTCCGAAGCGAAAATCATCGAGTAGGATGTAAGTATGGGACAGCCATGCTTCAGCACGAATGGGTTGACTCGACCGGTATGATACAACGGCCTCGCAGAAAACCAGCGGTAAAAAACCTCAGCGTTGTGTTTCGCCGGAGTGAAGTTACCAGAGGACTAATCGTTGCCCTCCCCTATCCCACCCCAATTCATGAATCCCCAGAACCCTTTATCCTCAAAATGGCGGCAACGCATTTAGTGTCGTCGATTGCTTACCGTACTATACATGTAAACTAAACGTGAATCACCAAATGGCCCACAAAAATTACGTCAATAATCGAATAACATTTATTAATTAACCTTTCGTATGTCTTAAACGTGGATCCACGCGAGACACAATGTATTTTCTATTGTGTCTTATAAACCGACATTCAACGGGTTAATACTCACCCAAATCAATTCTAACAGCAATATTCCAAGTACCACTAAACATTTGCTGGGAGTATTTGGAGAATATAGGTTTTCTTCTACCGCCCTCATTCCGTGTTAGGAAATAAATCTTCGCTTTATAGTGATTGGTTAGGAAGCAACTCTTTGCCGCTGTTAGAAGCATTCCAGTTTGCACTGATTTGATTTTCATACCACGCAGTAATACGCCTACATTATCGCCAGCTAAGGCCTGGAAATTATATTGGAATAGTTATATTATGTTATTCAAATATAGTAGTTTTGACTGGGGAAAATCATTCCTTTGCATCTCCGGCCCTGGGTGGGACCAAAGGGAGTAACAAAATTAGTAATTAAAAAATCTCCTGTGTCATGGGTGCGTTTACATACATACACATCAAACCCACACACACTTTGTGAATCACACAGTGTTGTCCCGTGCGGGAATCGAACCCGTCACACGTTGCCACACAGCCACACAGCAGCCAGCTGCCCTGCCGCTGCGTCAACCGTGCAGTCAAAACGGTAAACAACAACTAAATAGTGTAGTCAACTAAAAACTACGTCGTTCCTTCATCGAAGTACATATAGTTAATGCCACTTTGAAACGTATGCTTGGCACAAGGGATTTTTTGCTAAAATGACCACTGTTGAGACAGGGAGTTCCGCGGTGTATCATGCCCCTGGCTCAGAAAGAACGTAAAGCCATTGCGTCTGCGCCTCTTCCTAGCTATGTCCGGCTACCGTAAGATATAAGATGATACCTCATAAGATGACGAGATTACTCGTAGGTGAAGTGAATAGAAAGCGCCTTTGTGTTTTGCGCAGACTTGTGGACTTACAATCTCTTTTTTAATGGGGAAAAATCATCAAATTACTTCTCCCGTCCAAGATGGGGAGGAGGGTCTTACAAACTTCCTAAGACACTAAAAACTTCCCCGTCCCTCTCCTGCTGCTGACCGAGGCCGTGTTACATTACAAAGCTTGCACCTCCTGTGTCACTACACACTATTCTAGTTAGACAAACTACCCACCAGTATCGAACTCGATAGAAACCTTATATTCATGGTGTGTGTGAACCAGGCAGATCACTATCCAGCAGATCAAAAATAAATGCGAGTTTTCTTCGCATGCAGCCGAGTTCTACAGTCCTGATAGCTTTTACCTTGAAAAAAGTCGATTGGCGAAATTATCTGCTTACTTCCCGTAGCAGACCATTTGACGGCAGATCATAAATAAATGCGAGTTCTTTTCGGATGCAGCCGAGTTCTACAGTTCCTGATAGTTTTTAGCAATAGTTTTGACGTTCTTACCTCAGAACATATTTATCGACAGAATAAGGTGCGAACTTCTCGTAATAGATCATTTTGCTGTAGACCATAAGATACAAAAAAAAGAGTTCTGCTACGAGTTCATAACAAAAAAAAGAGCTCTAGCCTTTGGCAATTATTTTTTCAACTCGTCTATCATGATCTGCATCACGATTCTAACGGAACTTCATCGCAGAACTCGATCGAGTCGAAATATACGTTATTTATCGACGCGAATCATTTTTAAAAGCTAGAACTCTAGTTTCATGTGCATTTCCTGTCCTATGCTGGCAGATCATGACATACTGTTGGAAAAGTTGAAAATTACCTTTATGATCGATTCAAATCATTTGTAAAATCTAGAAGTCATTTGTTTCTAAGGACTTTGTATTAGAACTTCAACACAGAACTCGATTCGAGCGAGGAGCTAGCAGATCATGATAGACTTTTGGAAAAGTTGAAAATACCCTTTCGATCGATTCAAATCATTTTTTAAAGCTAGAACTCATTCGTTTCCTATGAATGTGTATCAGAACTCCTACACAGAACTCGATCAGTTGTGAAATCCTAAAGTACTTTTTAACCATTCAAATTATTGCTAAAACTCTTTTGCTCCTCATGGATCCATAACAGAAGAAGCTATCATTAGCTTTTATTTTCAGCCCACATGCAAAAACAAGGGTCGATTTCATGTCAGCAGGTTCTCAATCTCGGCATTGCCCAAAGCCAACGACGAGGACGTGTTTTTTCCAGTTTTGTTGATTTTTTCCAAATTACATTTGGTTCTAAACGTTTGATCATTTTATTATTGAAGCATGGTATGAGCTCTCTGTTTGTCTCGTCTTTTTTCGGTACACCTTTATCTTTGAAGAAGCTTTTTGCGAACGTTCATTATTACTTCTGTCAATTTTATTGTTACAGAGACCGTGAACTACAACTAAGGGGTGATTTTTCTGAATGTGAATGTAAAAAAAAATTAATGTTCTTGTCCTTAGCGCATGAGAATGAACTTTGATTCGTTTTTTCTAGACCGTTTACATATTTGAAAGGCCGATTGTATTATTTCAACACCTAGCTCGTATAAAACGAGATGCGGAGTTATTTTTGTCTTTGGAATCACTGATGCACGTTTTTTTTTATCAGGTCGTCGTATTTATACCAAAACTCGCCTATTAATCAGTATGTGGTATAATGTTTTTTTTTCTGCACTGTTATCGACAACAGCAGCTACCATATAAGTTTTTTCCACGAACCTCAATCACTTTTTTCAATGAGTCCAACCTAGAAACAACAATATTTCTTCTGATGGGATAACCAGGATCGCTTATAACTGTAGTATCGATTACCTAGTGCGACCCATACTCATTTACACAGGGTATTTTTCTTTTGCACCTTTCCACTACCATGCCATCTTCGATGGCTTCCTGCATTGAAAGAGACCACGACACAGAATTATGTCGTAACGTCCTACTTATAAAAGTTTATTTCTGCCGGTTTGTATATCCGCGGGAATAAACAACGTTAGCTTAGCAAATAGCTTGGTTCTTTTCCAAGAGATATTGCGCTAATTGAGTAACATTGCACTTCACATCCAACCGCTGGATGTTCCTCGTAGAGGTAGTGACCGTGCCTCCAAAAATGGAAATGCCTTTAGTATTTTAGCACGCTGGAAGTAATGTTCTCGCAATATTTTTTTTCTCGCTCTTTTGTGCCTGATTAATAGAGGAACAGTCTGATGATTTTAATTTTTCGAAGTAGACTTTATTTGTCAATAGCGCGTTGAGGACAACCTGATAAATGGAATCAAAATCACATTTTGAGGTAACATTCAGATATTGATTGTTTAAAGGCACTGATCATGAAATTTCCTGTTTAAAAGACCTGGTGCGTGGGCAGTTTTTGAGTGCTTTATGAAATCCCACTCGGGGCAATTATCCAAACTGGTTGGTATGGATCGTTTCTTGTTCAGTACGTTAGCTGTTTCAACCTTCCGTTTTGCGTTCTTGTTAAGTACGTTACTCTTCATTTCCTCACGAACGTTCCAGTCATTATCAGCTGGAATTTTTTCGTTTCTGGACATCTCGGTCGTTTTATATCCCGCATCATATAAAATCCTCAAAGAATCGGGGACATTGATAATAATATTTTGCGTCTTTGCCACTGCAGATTCAAGCGGTGGTTCAGTTAGTTTTGACTCGAGACTGGGTAGAATGTTTATCACATTGCCGTTGGGAGTGCTGCATTTATTATTTGGAGTCACATCAAACGAGATTTCTTCAGGTTCGGACGTTCCCTGATGAGGATGACCGACTTCCATACTATTTGATTGGTTTTCAAACTTGGAATCAGCTAGTTTCCGATGATTCGTCGAGGATCGCGTTATCGGAAGCGTTAGATCTTCCATGTCTGTTTTGCAATGAACCACCCGATGCTTTGCAGAGCTTTTATTTTTTCGTTAATGCGTTCGAGATGTTGCAAGACGAAACCGTCTACGACGCAACTCGACTGCAGCAGAGGTGGCGGTCATTAAGCCTCTTCCAAAAACAGAGACAGATAATTGCGGTTCACGCCACAGAGGTAAGTAAGGAAGGAGATATCGTTTCAACCTTTTATCAAAATCGAGGTTGTAGCACGCGTTGATTGTATCACCTTCAAATCAGTTTTTAAAGCTAGAACTTATTCGTTTCCTATGAATGTGTACGAGAACTCATACACAGAAATCGATCAGTGGTGAAACCAAAAAGTACTTTTTAACCATTCAAATTATTGCTAAAACTCTTTTGCTCCTCATGGATCCATAACAGAAGTAGCTATCATTAGCTTATATTTTCAGCCCACATGCAAAAACAAGGGTCGATTTCATTGCCCAAAGCCAACGACGAGGAAGTGTTGAGATCAGGCTTCGTTTTCCATTTTTTTCAATGGTTTTTTCCAATTTTTTCAAAGTTTTGTTGATTTTTTCCAAATTACAGTTGGTTTTAACACATTCAGTGCCCCCGACGCGTATGTGCGTTTCCTCGCACGCACATACGCGTCGGGGGCACTGAATGTGTTAAACGTTTGATCATTTTATTATTGAAGCATGGTATGAGCTCTCTGTTTGTCTCATCTTTTTTCGCTACACCTTTATCTTTGAAGAAGCTTTTTACGAACGTTCTTTGTTTATTGATTCAGATTTTTTGCTTCTATGTTATTTTTATTACTTCTGTCAATTTTTATTGTTACAGAGACCGTGAACTACAACTAAGGGCTGATGTTTCTGAATGTGAATGTAAAAAAAGTAACGTTCTTGTCCTTAGCGCATAAGAATAAACTTTGATTCGTTTTTTCTAGACCGTTTACATGTTTGAAAGGCCAATTGTTTCATTTCAACACCTAGCTCGTATAGAACGAGATGCGGAGTTATTTTTGTCTTTGGAATCACTGATGCACGTTTTTTAAGGGGCCGTCGTATTTATACCAAAACTCGCCTGTTAATCAGTATGTGGTATAATGTTTTTTTTCTGCACTGTATTCGACAACAGCAGCTACCATATAAGTTTTTTCCACCAACCTCAATGACGTTTTTCAATGAGTGCCTCATAGAAACAACAATATTTCTTCTGATGGGATAACCAGGATCTCTCATAACTGTAGTATCGATTACCAAGTGCGACCCATACTCATTTAGACAGGGTATTTTTCTTTTGCACCTTCCCACTGCCATGCAATCGCCAATGGCTTCCTGCATTAAAGGAGACCACGGCACAGAATTATGTCAACGTTCACACTTGTAAAAATGTATTTCTGCCGGTTTGTATATCCGCGGGAACAAACAACGTTAGCTTAGCAAATAGCTTGGTTCTTTTCCAAGAGATACTGCGCTAAATGAGTAACATTGCACTTCACATCCAACCGCTGGATGTTCCTCGTAGAGGTAGTGACCGTGCCTCCAAAAATGGGAATGCCTGTTAGTATTTTAGCACGTTGGACGTAATGATCTCGCAATATTTTTTTTTCACGCTCGACTTTGTGCCCGATTAATGATGGCATAGTCTGATGATTTTAATTTTTCGAAGTTGACTTTATTTGCCGACAGCGCATTGACGACAACCTGATGAGAAAATGGAATCGAAAGCACATGTTGAGGTAACATTCAGATATTGATTGTTTGGTTGCCTGGGCAGTTTTTGAATGCTTTATGAAATACCACTCGGGGCAATTATCCAAACTTGTTGGTTTGGATCGTTTCTTGTTTAGTACGTTACCTGTTTCAACCTTCCGTTTTGCGTTCTTGTTAAGTCCTTCCCATTCCTCACGAACGGTCCAGTCGTTATCAGCTGGGATTTTTTCATCTTTGGACATCTCGCCCATTTCATATCCCGCATCATATTTCTCGGCCATTTCATATCCTCAAAGAATCGGGGACATTGATAATAATATTTTGCGTCTTTGCCACTGCAGATTCAGGCGGTGGTTCAGTTAGTTTTGTCTTGAGACTAGATAGGATGTTTATGACACTGTCGTTTGGAGTTTTGCATTTATTATTTGGAGTCATATCAAACGAGATTTCTTCAGGTTTGGACGTTCCCTGATGAGGACGATCGACTTCCATGCTAATTGATTGGTTTTCAAACTTGGAATCAGCTTGCTTCCAATGATTCTTTGAGTCGCGTTATCAGGAGCGTTAGATCTTCCATCTCTGTTTTGCAATGAACCATCCGATGCTTTGCAGAGCTTTTATTTTTTCGTTAATGCGTTCAAAAACGAAACCGTCTATGCGCATCGGAATCTCGCCTTTGAATTCGCGACTCGACTGCAGCAGAGGTGGTGGTTATCAAGCCTCTTCCAAAAACAGGTACTATAATTGCGGTTCACGCCACAGAGGTACGTAAGGAAGGAGATATCGTTTCAACTTTTTAGCAAAATCGAGATTGTAGCACGCATTGATTGTATCACCTTCTGATGACTGATCGGCAATTTTACCTGCAGCACCATACAATTCGTCAAGCCACGATTTCCAACCCGGTTTGTCTATTCCTATTTCGTCCGAAATATGTTCCAGATTGAATGCGGATTCCTCCTTGCTGTCGTCACTTTGCTCGATAGCTTCATCATCGTCATGTTCGTAGTCGTTTTTCATTGCTATTCCTTTTATTTGGTTGCTTAGAAAACGAAATCGATGAACCGGAGGCAGGTGCTTTCCATCTGCTCCATACACAATGCATTTGCTGAGAGCAACGACAAGGACAGATTCTAGAAAGTACGACGTCTTCTCGATCTGATATTTGGCAAGCTTTTCCAACGCACCGTTCATAAAATCGCCATTCCAAAGACTTGTCTTTACCTTTTGAACTTGACCATTGCAGTTGCAGCAGTGACATCGACTTATTCACAAAAGTGTCGTAACACTTCTGCAAATAATCGTTCAAGCTAGCGCTTTGCCAAATACTTGTGCTACCGCAATTATTAAAGACCACCCGAAAGCAGACTTTTGGAAAAGTTGAAAATACCCTTTCGATCGATTCAAATCAGTTTTTAAAGCTAGAACTTATTCGTTTCCTATGAATGTGTACGAGAACTCATACACAGAAATCGATCAGTGGTGAAACCAAAAAGTACTTTTTAACCATTCAAATTATTGTTAAAACTCTTTTGCTCCTCATGGATACATAACAGAAGTAGCTATCATTAGCTTTTATTTTCAGCCCACATGCAAAAACAAGGGTCGATTTCATTGCCCAAAGCCAACGACGAGGAAGTGTTGAGATCAGGCTTCGTTTTCCATTTTTTTCAATGGTTTTTTCCAATTTTTTCAAAGTTTTGTTGATTTTTTCCAAATTACAGTTGGTTTTAAACGTTTGATCATTTTATTATTGAAGCATGGTATGAGCTCTCTGTTTGTCTCATCTTTTTTCGCTACACCTTTATCTTTGAAGAAGCTTTTTACGAACGTTCTTTGTTTATTGATTCAGATTTTTTGCTTCTATGTTATTTTTATTACTTCTGTCAATTTTTATTGTTACAGAGACCGTGATCTACAACTAAGGGCTGATGTTTCTGAATGTGAATGTAAAAAAAGTAATGTTCTTGTCCTTAGCGCATAAGAATAAACTTTGATTCGTTTTTTCTAGACCGTTTACATGTTTGAAAGGCCAATTGTTTCATTTCAACACCTAGCTTTCTATACGAGCTAGGTGCGAGATGCGGAGTTATTTTTGTCTTTGGAATCAACAGCAGCTACCATATAAGTTTTTTCCACCAACCTCACTCACGTTTTTCAATGAGTCCAACTTAGAAACAACAATATTTCTTCTGATGGGATAACCAGGATCGCTCATAATCTCTCATAATCGCTCATAACTCATAACTCAATTACCAATTGCGACCCATACTCATTTACACAGGGTCTTTTTCTTTTGCACCTTCCCACTGCCATGCAATCGCCAATGGCTTCCTGCATTAAAAGAGACCACGACGCTGAATTATGTCGTAACGTCCTACTTATAACAGTTTATTTCTGCCGGTTTGTATATCCGCGGGAACAAACAACGTTAGCTTAGCAAATAGCTTGGTTCTTTTCCAAGAGATATTGCGCTAAATGAGCAACATTGCACTCCACATCCAACCGCTGGATGTTCCTCGTATAGGTAGTGACCGTGCCTCCAAAAATGGGAATGCCTGTTAGTATTTAGCACGTTGGCGTAATGTTTTCGCAATATTTTTTTTCTCGCTCACACTCTGCGCCCGATTAATGATGGCACAGTCTGATGATTTTAATTTTTCGAAGTAGACTATATTTGGCAACAGCGCGCTGAGGACAACCTGAAGAATGGAATCAAAAGCACATGTTGAGGTAACATTCAGATATTGATTGTTTAAACGCATTGATCTTGAAATTTCCCGTTTAAAAGAAATGGTGCGTGGGCAGTTTTTGAATGCTTCATGAATTCCCATTTGGGACATCATAGTACGTTACCTGTTTCAACCTTCCGATTTGCGTTCCTGTTAAGTACTCCCCATTTCCTCACGAACGTTCCAGTCATTATCAGCTGGAATGTTTTCGTTTCTGGACATCTCGGTCGTTTTATATCCCGCATCATATAAAATCCTCAAAGAATCGGGGACATTGATAATAATATTTTGCGTCTTTGCCACTGCAGATTCAAGCGGTGGTTCAGTTAGTTTTGACTTGAGACTGAGTAGAATTATCACACTGTCGTTTGGAGTGCTGCATTTATTATTTGGAGTTACACCAAACGAGATTTCTTCAGGTTCGGACGTTCCCTGATGAGCATGATCGACTTCCATGCTATTTGATTGGTTTTCAAACTTGGAATCAGCTAGTTTCCAGTGATTCGTTGAGTCGCGTTATCGGGAGCGTTAGATCTTCCATCTCTGTTTTGCAATGAACCATCTGATGCTTTGCAGCGCTCTTTTATTTTTGTGGTTAATGCGTTCAAGATGTTGCAAGACGAAACCGTCTATGCGCAACGGAATCTCGCCTTTGAATCCGCAACTCGACTGCAGCAGAGGTGGCGGACATCAGCCTCTTCCAAAAACAGGTACCATAATAACGGTTCACAGAGGTACGTAAGGAAGGAGATATCGTTTCAACCTTTTATCAAAATCGAGGTTGTAGCACGCGTTGATTGTATCACCTTCTGATGACTGGATCGGCAATTTTAACTGCAGCACCATACAATTCGTCAAGCCACGATTTCCAGCCTGGTTTGTCCATTCCTATTTCGTCTGCAATATGTTCCAGAGTTAATGCAGATTCCTCCTTGTTGTCGTCGCTTTCCTCGGTAGCTTGATCATTGTCATATTTGTCGTCGTTTTTCAGTTCTATTCCTTTTATTTGGTTGCTTAGAAAACGAAGTCGAACAACACCGATGGCAGGTGCTTTCCATCTGCTTCATACACAATGCATTTGCTAAGAGCAACGACAAGGACAGATTCTAGAAAGTACGACGTCTTCTCGATCTGATATTTGGCAAGCTTTTCCAAAGCACCGTTTATAAAATCGCCTTTCCAAAGACCTTGTCTTTACCTTTTAAATTTGACCATTGGATAACTAACTATCTTCAATAGATGGCATACATCTGATCGCATGGATGTTAATGGCAGTGACATCGACTTATTCACAAGAGCGTCGTAACACTTCTGCAAATAACCGTTCAAGCTAGCGCTTTGCGTACTTGTGCTACCGCAATCATTAAAGACCACCCGAAATCAGTAACGATGATCGGTGGAATGGGAGCATTCGCAGCAAGGATGTGACCTAAAAAACCATTGACGATGATAGCGCGTTGACCGGATGAAACCATCTAAAAGATTGGCACGCTACCGTCTTTCGTCACGAGCACGCATTGGTACAAATACACGTGGTTCTGACCATCGAGCTTCGCAAACAGACCCGTAGCGTCGAACGCTAATCTGGCGTCAGGATCATCTCAATGATCTGCCAGGTTCACACACACATATTCATGGGCCCAATGTGTTAAGAGGAGAGCCAATTTGGTGTTTTAACTGCACAGTTGACGAAGTGGCTGCTATCAAAAATGTCGTGGTTACGACTCCCGCACACTGCAGCAAACAGTTTCTGTGACCCACAAATCATTTTTTGGGTCTGTTTGTATGTTTTTGTATGTTTATAAACGCACCCTCGACAAAGGAGAAAATGCTAGTATAGGACAACAATTTATTTCTATCTTTATTTAATACATACCTCAGGCACACTATTCTTGAATATCTGTACATCAGAAATAGTCGTTTTAATATTCTGCCCAAAACCCAAGAGGTCGGCTTCGGCATTTTTCTTCATAATACCTCTTTTGATTGTTCCAACGACAACTGTTCCTCTACCGGGGACTGTAAACGCATTGTCTATGGGCATTAGGAAGGGGGATGATAAATCCCTTACTATTGGTGGTACGTATTCGTCCATAGTCGATAGAAGTTTTCGTATCGATGGTGCGCCTGAAAAAAAGAGAAATTAAATGAATAAAAATAATAGTAGTACACATGTTGGCGCTTTTTGGAGAAGAGGGCGAGAGTGAGATTTAGACTCTTTCTAACTAAAAACCACCTCATTGTCCTGCTCAGGCCTGCTCCAGGCCGAGGCCGCGGTACAACGATTTAAAAGGTTATAAGGTCAATATAAATTTATTTAGAATTAACTCGTTATTTGAGAATTACCACTATCGTCAATGTGTGTCAAAAACATATTATAGAACATTTTATCGACAATGCAAATAATGCCTTAGAAAATTTTAATTCCGCGTTAATATTAGGTGACTTTAACCTAAGTAGCATTGAATGGAAAGGATCACCGGGCACACCGCTTGTAGCTTCATTAAATAAAACCGGTATTTGCGAACAAACACTGTTAGACTTTATTTACCTAAATAATTTAAATCAATACAATTGCGTTTGTAACCATAATAACAAGATACTCGATCTTGTCTTGACCGATAATAATATTATTAAATGTTTAGGTATGTCTGGCAATCCTCTAAGTAACATAGACTCGCATCATCCCCCCCTTGAATTTCACTTAGTGTGTTATTTGCACGAAGAAACTTTACGTCCAAACCTGGAGCCAAAATTTAAATTCTACAAAGCAGATTATAATAAAATTATTCAAGAATTGAGTGACATATCATGGCAAGATTTGTTTTCACAATGTGGCGATGTCGATTCAATCGTTGATTCATTTTACAAAGTTATTAATGACGTTATTGAAAAATATGTACCTAAGACGAAACCTGCAACTAGTAAATATCCAGTTTGGTTTAGCAGAGATCTCATTCGCTTGCTTCGAGAAAAAAATAAGTACCATAAACTTTATTCAAAATTTAAAAAGCCCCTAAATCACATATCATATCGCGTGCTCAAAGACAGAGTTTCTAAATTAACACAAACAAATTATAGGCAATACATTAAGTCAATTGAATCTTCAATCACTTTTAACCCTAAGCTCTTTTGGTCATTTTTAAAGCAGAAACGTAACGGTAATAGTACATATCCTTCGTCAATACATTACGGTAATGTCAAAGGTAGTAATGGAGCGGAAAATTGCAATCTATTTGCCTCATGCTTTTCATCGGTTTATGAAGGGTCTGGCGGTACTGGTAATAATGATAGTGTTAACAACATACCTAATTACGACACTGTACCATGTAATTCTGATATTTTGGCAAACTTGATACTATCGACGGATTCAGTCATTAATGCCCTAAAAAGACTGGACCCTTTTAAAGGGCCAGGGCCCGACGAACTGCCCTCCATCTTTGCAATAAAATGTCGTGGCCCTCTGGGAAAGCCTCTCTCTATGATTAATAATAAATCATTGAACACAGGTTGTTTTCCGAAGACCTGGAAAGAGGCACGAGTTGTACCAATTTTCAAGTCTGGTGAAAGGTCCGCCGCGAATAACTACCGACCTGTATCTATCTTGTCTATTTTTGGGAAGGTGTTCGAAGCTTTAGTTTACCCTGCACTCTCATGGCATGTGAAACAGGTATTGATGCCTGAACAACACGGTTTCGTGAAGGGCCGGTCTACGGGAACGAATCTTGCGTGCTTTACATCTGATCTAGTCGACGCCGTAGACCGTGGAACTCCTGTAGATGTTATCTATACGGATTTTAGCAGGGCGTTTGACAAGGTGAATCACAAACAGTTAGTTAAGAAATTACACCTAGTCGGAATCGAAGGAAACTTATTGCAGTGGTGTGAGTCTTACCTTGTCGAACGCACTTCTAGGGTGGTAGTCAGCGGTTACTCGTCGAAACTTTATTTGACACCCTCGGGGGTACCCCAAGGATCCCATCTAGGCCCCCTGTTTTTCAACATATTCATGAAGGACGTGGTATCTTGTTTTGTGCATTCAAAAATTTATTTATACGCGGATGACCTCAAAATTGTTAAACGAATAGAGTGCGATCAGGATTCAGATAGACTTCAAGAGGACCTAAACCTTTTCTCTCAGTGGTGTCTAGACAATAAAATGTTACTTAATGCTGACAAATGCAATCATGTGCATTTTTCAAGAAAAGTAGGACCCCATTTCCGTAGATACAATATAAACGGAAAAACTGTTTACGAAAAAACATTGATTCGTGATCTGGGCGTCTACATAGATAATAAGCTGCGTTTTCATAGTCACATTGATAAAATCGCTTCCAAGGGTTTTAAAATGTTGGGTTTCATTTTGCGCAATAGTAAAAATTTTAAACACGCCTCAACTAAAATTCCTATTTTCAACTCAATAGTCAGATCAGGATTAGAATACTGCAGCATAGTCTGGACGCCATTGTACGATGTTCATAAACGCCGTTTAGAATCAATTCAAAAAAGATTCCTTTGGCATTTGACATATCAATGTCACATGACCAGTAAATTAACTAGTTATAGCTCTCGTTTGAAGTATTTTAAATTAATGAGTCTAGATAATCGCCGTAAAATCCTAGATCACCTGTTCCTGTACAAATTAATAAACAACTACATTGACTGTCCGCAGTTACTTAGCCAGATTAATGTGAACGTGCCCTACAAACTGGCTCGAATGTCTAGGTATCGGTTGCTTTCAGGTAAGGGCTTTAAAACAAGCCTGGGCCATTTTTCCACAATAAATAGAATGCAGGAACAATTTAGTCGCCTGTCATCCTCACTTGATGTAGATATTGACATGTCCTACTCTCTCTTTAAGGTGAAAACTGTCTTACGTAGGACATTCTCACAGAGTTGAGCTCCACAATATATTTCACTGTATAAAATATTGTTTTTTTTTTATTGTTTTTTAATACATTTCATAGTATTAAAAAAAATTACAGTTTTTTGAATTAATAATTAACAATTGTGATTTGAAAACTAGTGTTATTAAGATGTCTTTTTTTTTGATAAGTGAACTTTTTGTTGTAATATCCTGTTATTTGTTAAATGCATGTCGTGGCAGCCTTTAATTAAGGCTACACTATACAATGTTAAAATATGTTAAAAACCTATCATGTATTTTAGTGTATGCTTTGTTGGTTGCCCTTAAATAAATAAATAAAATAAATAAATAAATAAATGTGATTACCGATTTGAATATTTTCAGTTTAATTTCTCAGTAATAGTAGAATTGAGTCTGGAAAGTCTAGAAATGCGATAGGATATCTATATCTAGGATATCGATATCTATATAAATGTTGCATAGTACCTATACTTTCTATAACTTCTGGATTAAAAAGGTAGTTTGATAATATACTAATAAATGAAAATAAAAATACCTTACCATATTCTGACTCGTCTCCATTCAAAGCCTTCATCGCTGAGCCACAAATCATGGGCACAGTGTTGCCATCGTAACCAAAGTCTGAAAGTAGCTCTCTCATTTCGATTTCTACCAATTCCAACAACTGAAAAAATTGAATTTAAGATAAATTAAATCTAAAATTCAACCAGAATCTATTTGTTACAACTCCTACCCTTCCCTGAGAGTCATAGGCCACTCAACGGAAAATTTCTTAGTACAACATACGAGTCTGAAATTTTCCCTGGAGTTTCGAAATAGGGACACATCCTCTTGCAGGAGACTTGTGATAAAACTTGATTTTAAATGGGCACCTTCGCGTAAGCCTTCGGGGTTTTTTACAGATAAGACGACAAATGAGCCGCTAGAAACATGCGCATGTCAGGAGTTACGCCTTTTAGGGATTAGGAGTTTGTGGATTTAGTGGACGGGAAATTTAATACACGGCAGAACACAACGCTGTAATTGTTTCACATCGGTTTTCTGCGAGGCCGTAATATGATTACGTTCGAGCTGACCCCTTCGTGACGAAGCACACTACTTAAAATGTAGACTATTTTATTTCATAGTGGCGCGGCGGCATACAAGCTCACGTATGATGGATGACCATTCGGCAGCCCATTATATGGGACTTGTTCGACTTCTGTGCGTTGTTTGGGAATTGGGGATGAGGAAGAACTGGAGTCCAGTAGTTTCACTCGCTCGAGGTAGACAGTATCGAAGATGGGACGACGAAATTAAAACCATAGCAGGGAAAGTATGGACAAGAAGAGCTCAAAATAGAGCAGAATGGAGAGAAATGGAGGAGGCCTTTGCCAATTTTGGGCAAACAGACCAGGTTGTTGATGTCACCAACTTGTCAGATTGTTAGATTTACACCAGGTATCCGAAAGGCCGATCAATGTTAAAATCAATTGGGCAAACAGACCAGGTTGTTGATGTCACCAACTTGTCAGATTGTTAGATTTACACCAGGTATCCGAAAGGCCGATCAATGTTAAAATCAATTGGGCACACAGACCAGGTTGTTGGTGTCACCAACTTGTCAGATTGTTAGATTTACACCAGGGTTCCGAAAGGCCGATCAATATTGACTGTTGATGTTATCAACAACCAATCAGATGACTTGACAAGAGATTTAACAGGAGATTAGTTAATTTTAGCGTTGACAAGCCTTTCAGAAACCGGGTGTAAGTGAAATATGTTTAATATTGTTAACTGCGGTCGGAATAAGGGCTTCTTTATTATTATAGTTTCACTTGCACAGCATTACACAAGTCAAGCTTTGTTTCAGAACAGTATTACGTGAGTCTGGGGTATATTGTTAAACTTAAATTAATCATATAGTTAAGAATTACCTCAGAATCAACTAAATCAGCCTTATTAATGAACACAATTATATACTGTATCCCAACTTGCTTAGCCAATAACAGATGTTCCCTAGTTTGCGGCATGGGTCCGTCATTGGCAGCAACCACAAGCACTGCAGCATCCATTTGTGAAGCTCCAGATATCATGTTTCGTATAAAATCTGCGTGACCGGGACAGTCTGTGTGTGCATAATGACGTAGCTTGGTGCTGTAACCCACATGGGCTGCATTTATTGTTATACCTGTTGAAGGAAATTTGATTTTCATTTTTACTTAGCTTTAGAGTTTTTTGAATGTACTAATCTCCAGAACTACTTTTAAAATATGATAGTTTCATTTGGATAAAAGTATTGAATTTGACTGGTTGGCCAGTCAAATTCAATACTTTTATCCATATATATACAATACATTTCTATACAATATACAATACATTTCTATGGTATGTACAGTCAGGGGTCAAAAATACAATTGCACTGTACCAATTTTAAAATGACCAAAATATCTTTGTGGAATAGAGTCAAGGGTTGAGTACTGCTTTAATTTATAGCATAGAATCTAAATTATTGAATAAACTGGCTGTGAACCATTGAACTTTAACTACAAACTTACAAAGAAATTTTAGTCATTTTAAAATTGGTAGAGTGGTACAGTATTTTTGACCTCTGACTGTACATAATCATCATTATGATGTCATAGTATTTTAAAGTTCAACAGCTTACTAATTTCTTAAAAAAACCAAAAAGATATCGAACATTTGAGTATTGATTTAATTTATTTTTGATCTAGGAAACCCTAATTCCCTAATTGACTAATATTATTGCTTAAGATAGTCCATTATTCAAACTTCATACTTAATTGAAGCAATGTTGTCAACAAGTAAGTACCTTTTTCCAGTGGAGTATGAGAGAGACTCATCCTTGAAAGTGCTGTGTGTATAATGGAGCTTAGCTTCCCTCTTTTTCATGAGAAGGTTGAATCAAACTTTTAAACTTGATTTAGAAAAAAAGGAAAATTAATTTAGCCTAGGTTCGGCTAGAAACTGTCACATATACGTACCAAATCGTAGGAAGTTGTAACAATTGTTATTTTTATTTACATAATAAGTTTAGATAAATTATTAAATGACTGATAGAAACAAGTGGAATTTCTCTAGAGAAATGACTGAAGGATAATACTTTCGTACGGCTTGATAAGCTGTATTGATGTTTATAGTAAATATAATTACAATAACTATTGTACTTTTTAAGATAAACACATACCTCTCGCTTTTTCCTCCGGTGCTCTGTCGATTTCATCGTACGATACGTACTGCGCCAACCCATCTTTAGCTAATATCTTAGTTATAGCAGCAGTAAGCGTAGTCTTCCCGTGGTCTACATGACCAATAGTTCCTATATTACAATGTTTCTTCTCAACAAACTGAGCTTCTGTTTTGGTACAAAATTCATTACTTGAAACTCGAAATATACCGACGTATAATCGATTTGAAGACGAGAAGCTGTGTTTTAAAGGTATTTTCCTTGTAAAGCTACAATATAACGACTGAAACACAAGTCTTCCACTCATTTTTCTGTAAATATTTTTAGTTTAACATTGAGGATTGCTGATTTTTGAGGTTAGGTACCTATTTTATCAATTTGACAATATCATAACTGTCACTGTCACTTAGACTGCCAGGCTCACACAGATTACTGATTTAAAAACGAATTAAAACATAAAAGTTTTTTAGATAATTAGGCAGAACATCAAACTTATAATGAATTCAAAATTATAGAGTTCAATATAATGTCTATTATTTTATAACCCAGCAACAATATATAAAATTAAATACTCCAAAATTACTATCAGTAGTACCTACTTGCTATTTTATTAATTTGAACACGATAACACAAACTTAGAGGGTTAATTTTATTATTGCGCTATTTCTGCTTAAATAAATCTTGCTCTATGAGTAAAACGTACCCGGATAATAAAGTATTCTATGAAAAATTAAGAGATGTTATATTTCCCTATTATAAGTAAAGAAACATTTAATTCAAACTAAATAATTTACAGGTACTACAGAAACGTTTAAAATATAACTGGATAATTATAGGGTACAGTCGACCAACATTTTTCCAGTCGTGTTGGGTCGTCACCAGAGGAAGGAACTTGAGACACTTGGAGTCAAATGAAAAAGGTGTAAGAACATATAAGATCAACAGGATTCTAAAGTATAAAGAACTAGTGATTTCATAACATATCTCTTTTTTTCCTAACGCGTGGATAGGCAAGACAACCCTCTTTGTCTGTGTCTTATAAGCGTCCCAGGCGCGAATAAATACTTTTTCTTTCTTCTTTCTTTACTGTAGGCACGTAGGCAGAAATCGAAGCATATCCTAATAAAGTCCGTACTCCTCATAAGCTTTTTTTTAAATGATCGTTACCCCACACTAGTATTTTCTCCTGTGCCGAAGGTGCGGTACCAACTTACAATTTCACATACACATTACACCGACACCTGGAACAACAATTTATGGATTACACAAACTCTCACACCTTCCAATTTAATAACTAAATCGACACTTAATAAGTGTGGGAAAGCCACGGTTTGGCACGGCTGTTCCAGCTCGCTTAGTCTAGTAGAATCTAAGTACTATAAGTTTGGGAGTTGTCATGGTCACTCAAAGCTGTGCTCAAAGATCTCATTGGCGGCGTAGCACGGGCACTGGATGGACCGCTCGATTCCCTACTATAGGTATGGTTTTTGGTGGTGCATGTTTACGTGTCATTTTCGTGAACGGGCTTATGAATATGATCCTTGAAATGATTTGATTTTTGCTTCTTTCGCTAAATAATAGGTAGGTACACTATTCTCACATAATAGAACCGCTTTATTAATGTGACAAAGAATCTGTATGTGAAAATGATTAAAAAAAAGAGCAGCCATGGAGTATCTTGCTCATTCCTCTCCATATTATGAATCTACACTCGTGAACTAGAAAATAGCTTCACGAAGCACAGGCTGACACTTTTTAACTTTTGATTTGTTTGTCTTGCTTGAAACTAACATAGCGTGGTTTCGCCGTGTGATTGAGTACAAGGGTTACATAAAAAACAAGTAACACATTAATTTAGAAACCCCAAGCGAACGCGTTCTCGTACTTAAAGTCTTGAATTACCGCAATAAATACATCATCATCATCATCATCAGCCTGTTGTCGTCCACTGCTGGACATAGGCCTCCCCAATTGCACGCCACTGAGCTCGATTTTCAGCTCTTCTCATCCAACCACTGCCAGCCACCCTGCGGATGTCGTCAGTCCACCTAGCTGGGGGGCGCCCTACACTACGTTTGCCTAGACGTGGTCTCCACTCTAGAACACGTTTACTCCAGCGGTCATCGGTTCTTCGACAGATGTGACCTGCCCACTGCCACTTCAGTTTGCTAATCCTTTGGGCTATGTCGATAACTTTAGTTCTCTGTCGGATCACCTCGTTTCGAATACGATCCTTCAGAGAGACTCCAAGCATAGCCCTTTCCATAGCTCGCTGCGCGACTTTAAATTGGTGGATCAGTCGCACTGTAAGTGTCCACGTCTCGGCTCCGTATGTCATCACTGGTAGGACGCACTCATTGAAGACTTTTGTCTTCAGGCTTTGCGGTATCTTTGACGAGAGTACCCGACTGAATTTCCTATACGCTGCCCAGCCAAGCTGTATCCTCCTACGAGCCTCCCTCTCGAAGTTGTTTCTACCAACAATAAATACACAAAATTTTATTTAACAACTGTATTTCAAAAATTATAATTACAAGCATATCTCCAATAATTATAGACATCTCTAGAATATCTACACAATGATCTTTCGCGTCATCCAGGTATTATAATATTGCGACAATAATTAAAGTCTTTTAAAAACCTATTTTCTGAGGAGTATGTTAATAGCTACGATCCATTTCATATAGTCAAAAAGTACAGTCAACCTTCAGTATTATATAATATCTTGCATTAAAACTTAAATTCAGATACAATAGGTACTTATGTTTACGCAAATATTACTTAAACACAGTAAGACGAAAGTTATAAAACCTTGGTATTATATTTTGACCTACCCTTATTTTGTCCACTAGATGGCGTTAGTATAGAGCTTAAGTCTTATTATCCAATAGAAAATCGGCCAGTGTTACACCATGCCTAGTGATTGGATAGACTGCTAGCTAGATTAGCGCCATCTAGTGAGGAAAAATGGTAACCCTCGTTCTGAAATAAAAAAAAGGTAGAATGTTTTTCCAACCAAATGCATCTAGTTCAGTTGTATAGTACCTATCTTAAAGGTATAAGTTGACCCGTTTGGTGGAATAGTATAGGGCACATAAATTAAGCATCTACTTATTTTGTCTGTTTAAGACAGCGAAAAAGTAGCTGATTTATTTTGTATTACTGAAGGAAAAATAAGGGAATTTCATAGAAAACTAATTATTTATGACTTTATTAAGTAACAATTATGCGATTCGTAGACGCGTATAATGGTTCATAGTCAAATTACAATTTTTCGTCACAAAATTTTGTTATAAAACTTTCATTTATGTGATAGTATTTATTTATATTTCTTTCATGTCAATTATTTTACCTGTCTATTTAAATTTTCTCAATAGAGCAAGTTTTACACTTACGAACTTCCTGAAAAAAATATGCAATAAATAACGACATGATACCGTCTGTAATAATAACTTTTTGGTATCAAATATAAAGTCGCTATTGTTTTGAATGAAAAATTGCATTTCCCGCCAAATGAGACACGTGACATATAATGTTCTTATTGGTCACTATCGTAAGTACTAGGCCAATGAGGATACGTTATTAAAACGCTGATTATTTTTCATTGGGTGTTATTATTACCAGTAATAAGGAACAGATTTGTTTATACTATTCTATAATTCATATTTTTTAATATTGGATATTAATACAATTATATTTTAATTCTAATAGTTTATACAATGAACCAATTTTAGCACAGAGTTGGTTTTTTATAGACAAATGAATTGACATTGAAATACACCATATTAATAAGTTTTTCAAAATAAAGTACCTAATGAAGTATAAACCCTTTTTGCAAGCAGTATTGCCATTTTTTCCGTACATTACATTTAGGTAATGGCATCTTTCAACAAATCCATGAAATCAACTGAAAATCTAACATTTATACATTATTGACCCGTCAAATTATTAAAAATAGCAAACATATTTCAGTTCCGATAAAATTAAATAAAGTTCAGGAGCAGAAGTTTGTTACATCGTAAAATCAACGAAGATGTGGCTTTCGTAAGAACAATATATCATTGAAGGTTTTAATCCAAAAGATAAGGAAAAGTACTGTTAAAAGTTTTCAAAGAATTTTTGTTAAAATTTTTCGTTCTCATTTCATACCTGCTTGAAAAAACATTAAAATAAAACCTACAACATTGGATAAGTACTTGTTAAAATCATGACTTCTATTGGTCGATTTCTCAAAATCGTCATTTTCTATTAGTTTTGTAAGACATTTAGTGTTGTGACGGAACTTTTTTTTCGTCAAACAGCATACCTAATTTATCAGTTGAAAATTAGCAAGAACAATACCAATATTAAATGAATCATAAAAATCATAAAATGAATGGGCAATTTCTAATTTTATTGCATCGGAAAGTGAGAATTATGTAAATTATAATACTTATTAATTTTTAACAAAGAAACAAATAAATTTCGAGTCAGAATAATGTATTAAATGATTGATTATCTACATAGTACATAAGGAAATACATAACACATGTACTTTATAACATTCAACAGGTAGTAAGTCTCTCTAATACCAATTCCATAATTATAAACTTTAAGTTTATGGCAATAAGAATCATTTTCAGTTTCAGCTATTCGCATATTTAATTTTGAACCTTACACATAAGCCAATATTGATAATTATTGATATCAAATTTAAAACTTTTGACTGACATATCACCATCTCATTCCCCCATGCAAGTACAATATTTTCCGTCTTTGTCATTCGATGAAGCTATAGGGATGTTTCAAGTAGTCAAAATCAACAATTTATTTGAAATCGAAAATGTATAAAAATTATCTTTGCAAGACTAAAGATTTTGAGTAACATACTTATCTTTACTAATATAACAAAGATTTAAGAGTTCCTACGTAAGTATATAGGTACTCATTCGAATTAAAAATTATTTTTGTATTTTTTAGTCAATTTATCATGGAGGTATTAAACTTCACGTAACGATCTATAGGAACCGAGCAGAAGGTAAATAATATAACAAAGATTAACAGTTTGTTTTCTTGAATGTTCTAATCTCCGAAACTACTGTTTGGAATAGAACAATTCTTTTTGAGATGGATAGTCTATAAACCGAGGAGGGCTGAGCTAAAAAACATCACACTACGACCGACTAACAATAGCCGAGTGACTAAAACCACATAGGAGTAACCATTAGCATCATAATGACAAGATTTGTTACAAGTATAATGTTATAAATCGAATCGGAGATAGGTAAAACACATATTTTTTTTAATGTTGCCCCACACTAGCATTTTCTCCTGTGTCCGTAAGTGCGTTTACAAACATACAATTCCACGTTAATATGATACTCAGACCCGGAACAACAATTTGTTGATCACACAAAGAGTTGTGATATGTTTCAATTGAGAAATCGGCTCTTTTTAAAAGTAGGTTAAATATTAAAAAGTGAAGCCTATGAAAGCGACCAGTCTGGGATGAGGATTACAGGCCTGAGCGGATGTGAGAGCTTAACCCATTCCTTCTTTTTACAGTCGTTGGTAAAACCGAAAAGAAGCTATTTTATCATAAACTCACGAGCAGTTTTACAAGCTGGGCGGCTCCTATTGAACGTAGGCTGATGTTTTATAGCCTATAACAGACCTCGATAAATGGACTATCTAACATAATAAAGAATTGTTCAAGTCGAACCAGTAGCTTCGGAAAATAGGACATTCAAACAAACAAATTGTACAGCCTTATAATATTAGTATAGATTGAGAAAAAAAATGTGAAAAAAAAGTATAGTTACTATCAAATCATTTCATTTTTGGCCAAAGTTGATGAGTATGTAAATGTAAAATCGAGATAATGCTTGACTACCGAAACATCCCACACACAACAGTTGTTTTAACAGAAGTTGAAAAAAACAAACAAAGAAAAATAACGGCAAGGAAAACTCCGTAAACATAGCTGTCTCGCTCCCTCTTGTGGATGTAACCATCTTCATTTCACTCAACGAAGCACAGAACTCAGATTTTAAAAGAAAAACTTCACTATTACTTTCATCACTTTTTTAGGCTAGTGGTACTATTAACACTTTTTGAACACCGGTACTTTTAACACTTTTTTAAACAGTGGTACTTTCAAGACTTTTTATTGATATCACTTTTTCTTCTGTCACTGTCTAAACATGCAATGGAAAGTGCAGTACTTCCTGAACTGATCTGAGTAAATAGGTTTGTTTCATTGTTTTAGAACTCTGTAGTGTAGTGTAAATTCTACGTTGGATTTCCATATGAAGTGGCGGACTGTCCTGAGGTCCATGTTTGGGTCGAGCACCTGGAAAATTTGAAAAGGAGTTAGCAAAGGTGCAATAAGAGCCATTTAATACCATTTTTTCCTGTAAAGACTTCCATTTCGACAGTGAAGTTCCAACTTTCACCAAACAACCATTTTTCGGAGTTAAATTTATCTTTATTTTCAAGGCATTGTTGCGAATAACGTCTTCAAATTAAAACGTTTAAACAAAATATTCCTTAGTGTATTAACTAAAAATCGCGGGTTACTCCCGTGTATATATTGAGAAAAGCTCTACTAGTTTCGAACCACAGAGGGGTTCTTCCTCATGAGCTGCGTATGCGGCCGCGGCGACGTCGCGCAGCCTACTGGGGAACTTCATGAAGAAGATGCCCTCTGTGTTTCGAAACTAGTAGAGCTTTTCTCAATATATACACGGGAGTAACCCGCGTTTTTTAGTTAATTTAGTATGTCTCACGATAGTTATTATAAAAACATTCCTTAGTGTATTTTTAATTGCAACAGCATATTTATAAAAAATATTGGTACTTCACCGTCGATTAACGTTGGTGCCCTTAGCAGGAAAGATTTCAAACACTGGATTGGGTAAGTATCAATGCAACCATTAACGGTAAGGTGCACAAGTTAATTAAGAGACTATACACGGTAGCCTTGAAGACATCTAAATCATAACTGGACGGGAAGGCTGTTCAAGGCAAGCTATACCAATCCTTAATAGCCAGGGTCGCAGGGTAAGTACCGCGGCCCCGGCCCAGAGCAGGAGAAGAAACTGAGGTGCTTTTAGTCAGTAAGAGTCTGACACTTCCTCTCGCCTCACCCTGGGCGGAAGAAGTCATTTGAAGATTTTCCCCTAACAAAATGTAAAAAGATATATATGTAGTTATACCTGATCACAGCACAGCAACTCAACTCGTTCTTCGGGAGCATCGTTGCCACTATCCTCATTGGCACTAGCTCGACCACTGCCAGCGCTCGCCCCGTTCACGTCACCACCACCGACTATTTTCTCTACCACATGTTCAGCTACTTTACGACACTGTATAAAGTCGTTTGCTACTAGGCGGTCCTGTAATTTAATTAAAAAAGGTTTATTTATGTATATATATTTAAGTGTGGGAGAGCCATGCTTCGGCACGAATGGGTCGGCTCGACCGGAGTGATACCACGGCCTTACAGAAAACCGGCGTGAAACAACCACAGCGTTGTGTTTCGCCATGTGAGTGAGGTTACCGGAGGCCCAATCCTTCCCCTTCCCGGACCCTTCCCCAATCCCTAATCCCTAAAAGGTCGGCAACGCGCTCGTAACTTCTCCGTTGCGGGTGTCCATGGGCGGCGTTGATTGCTTACCATCAGGTAATCCGTCTGCTCGTTTGCCGACTTATTACATAAAAAAAAAAAATTATTACTATTTAATTTACGCTAATTCTAACGTTGTCATAAATATTGATAATGTATATGAGCCCCAGTCATAGGTTGAAACTAGTCGAGCGTCCTCGAAAAGTAGATTTTAATTAAAGAGGATATGGAGTAACTTAGGCTACTATTTTTTTTTTAAATCTTTCCTTTTTTGGCTCGAAATAGTGTTCTGGCTCGATAGCTATAATTCAATTAAACACGGACAAAGTCACGTATAAAGTACTCGGTATAATGTACTTTGTATATTAGATTACATTATTTACATTCGTGTATTACACTTTTGTGATATTCAAATTCGTTATTAACATTCCACATGTTAATAGACAGGTGGTACATTTCATTTTGATCATATCAGGGATCAAACTCAATATGGAACCAGTAGGGCACAGCAAGAAATTATACAGTACCATAACTGGTAAATTATTATAAATGTGCTTTACAATAGGGTAGTTTCTTAGGTCAAAAATATATTAATTCGACATTTCAATACAATGAAATATTGAAAACTATTTATACTTTTATTCATCGATCGATCGATACACTAAGTTTTAGATATTTTATAGCTAATTTTTAAGAAATAAGTAAGCGATTTGACGCAAAAATAGTATGACGTCATACCTCAGTTTTTCATACAACTTTCATAGAAAAGTATCGTTTTTGATGTTTGGATAAAAGTATTGAATCTGACTAGTTGGAAACTACCGTATTTAAATCGAACAATGTCCAAGAATAAATTATCATGAGATTTAATTTTGTTAAAGAATACCTTAAGGATACCTTATTATATTTTTCAAACATAGCAACTAAATGGTGTATATAAGAAACTAGTATTTGATAAATTTTACCCATTAAGTGTTGCGTGAGCTAGGTAATTAGGAAACTGATATAACTAACATAAATAAGTAATTAATGTAAATAACAATTTAGGGCTATGTAATTATGACTTACAGTACTAGTAAAGAAAGAAAGAAAGAAAGAAAGAAAGAAAGAAATAATTTTATTTGCACAACCTGGACACAGATACAAATGTAGATAAAAAAAAAACCAGTAAAAATTAATCAAAACAAAAATAGTAATAAAAAAAAAAAAAAACAGTGATGTGTGTCTCAGCGTTGGACAAATAGGCCCAGTTCAGCTTCGATGCCAGGCGGTTATTGCCTGGCGCTGGTTTTCAACTGGACCTTCAAGTGATCAGATCACGGATGTAACCAGTCCCTGATAATATATTATAACATTAAAGAATTAAATAAAAGTAAACAGATAAATATAAATGCTAAATTGGTGATAAATAAATATGTGTTGTGTCGTGTGATTTGAGTAGGTGTGTATGTGTGAGTGTAGTTGAATATGATAGCGGACAACAAAACTAGGATCGCAATACGAGCGAGTCAAAACCTGTTTCCTTTATCTAACTAAGAGACAATAAATATCAACAGACCGATATTTTGCTCCCCTCGCAACCCAATACGCAACATGCATCCGTGCGCAATGGACTGCTGTTTGATTTTTTAAAATCTAAATTATGGTGGTAGAATGAAAATCTATGGTGATAGAATAATTTCATTAAAATAAGTATTAATTAGTGAAATATTGAGTATACTGCTATGAGAAGGTGTTAGAAAGAAGGTAATAGGGTAAGGTAAGTTTTGTGAAACAATGATATTAATTCTATTATAAATAAATCATACTACTTTCCTACGTATATAAATTGTAATTCTATTTTAGATAAGCCCGCGCCTTATTGTGGAGGCACCCAGCCATCAAAGGTGCAGCACCACATCATCTCGGCCACCTATATTTATAGTAGTAGGGAGATAAGGACTTGATATTTGCTCTAGCCCTGTTTCTAAGGCTCAATGATGTGTAGAGTCACTATTAAATCTAGTATTTATCTACCAAGTACATAATTATAAAAAATATTTTAATTTAATTTATAATTTAACATAGAACGATATGAACTTGGTATCCAAAACATTCGCCATCATTTCAAAGAGAAAAACAAGTTGACAAACCTTCTTTTGCCGATCCTGCTTGCTTTGACAGCTAGAATGAGGGAGCAAGTAGAATGGCAATTTGTTCAATTTAGGAGCCGCCATTTCTATAGCCACATCTACCACCCAAGATGGTACAGTCTCCACTAAGAGGTTACCTTCAGTTTCTCCACCTGCATCACCAACCTGGAAATTGTGGGAAATTATATTGTAATAGGCTAAAAATCATAGATTACAAAGTTAGTCTAGCAGTAAAACAATGAAACAGTGAAGTTATTACAGCAAAAAAGGCCTGAACAGCAGTTTTAAGAAGAAGAAGTTGAAGTGAATTCTGATTGGCTGATGATAGTGATTGGATCAGTTGATAGTCACTTTTAATCCATTATTTTATTTTAGTTTAATTCATACAGGTACAAACTACAGAATAAAAATAATCAGCATACTTAAAATAACATGCAGTACATAAATCTGAAGTCCAATTATTCTTCTACACAACATTCAATATAAGTAACAAGCTTCATTCAAGACAATTAAGGCAAAGACCATAACCATATGGTTATAACTAGTAGTGTAAGTTAACTTGATGCAAACCAGATTACTAAGTGCCAATTTTGTTGTTATTCTTGTGACTTACTAGTTTTGTTTGTTTTTTTTTTTAAATGTAAATATTACACTAATAAATGTGTTATTATCGTTAAACATTATTACCGTAATGGATGTGTAAACAAGGAAAATTAAAAAAATAATTTATAACATCAAGAAAACTTAAAGTCAATGGGGCAGGCATATGTTAGGCAATAAATGAGTTGTGGCTCTGACTCATATTGAGATAAAAATAATGATACTTACTTGCAATCTATATAGAGTTCTACCACCAACTTCGCTAAATATAAGAGGAGTGTGTTGCGGTACACTGAAGTAATTGTTCCCAATCACTCTCTGTCCCGCTTCATTCACTCTATTCGGATGATTCCAATGATCCAAGAGGGCCTGCAGCAATAGAGCTCCGAAGTTCACCTTCTGATCATTCTCCGTAGTTAATCCAGCTTCTTTAGCGCTAACCCAAGCGCTCAAACAATCTGTCTCATCTTGACCTAAGTGTATTGTTAACATCCCTGTCTTCAAATCTACGTTGAACCAATTCGGTACATAAACCATCTTGAATCTCTTCTTAACTTCTTCTTCATAATCAACTTCTCCTAAATCTTCTACTTTACAAGCTTTAAGCACATCATATAAAGCTACATTGTTTGCGGTATCTTTCGTTACAACATGTCTTTTGTCATTTAATACTGTGTAATGTTTGATTGCAGGTCCACCAGGAATGTTATGTAATGGCTGTGTTTGGTACACATTGTTAGTATTATAATTATTCTGATTATACATGTCTAAAGAATTTAGTGGGGGCAGTTTCCAGCAACGGACATCAGACTCGGATGTTGACACCCAAACTCCACTTTGGTCCGCAGTAAAGCATAGTTTAAGTATAGGGGCAGTTTCTTCACATACTATCATAAAATTATTAGGGTTTCGTAGCTCTGTAATAATGACTAGCCTATCTCGTCCACCAGATATGATGTGTGAGAAGGTTTCAGTAGCTAACAAGGCCCACACAGCTTCAGAGTGCACTCTTATGGTAGAAACACACCTTTGCTGTGATAGAGACCACAATTTTATTGTTCCATCTGAGCTGCCTGATACACACTGTGTCCCATCCCTGCTTACAACTAAAGCTTTAACATTGTCCGCATGTCCTTTTAACTTCATAAGTCTTGAACAGTTTCTTGGATCCCACACACGAAGTACTTTCTCTGTAGAACCACTTACTAGGATAGTCCCAGGAGGATTCATAGCCAAACTGTATATGGACTCCTTGTTACCAACAAGACTTGATGTAGTTACAGTGTTATTACTGGCCGTCAAAGCTGTCAGTGTGTTAACATCCCAAAGAAAGATTGCCCTGTCCAGCCCCGCGCTGGCGACCTGTTCTTTGTCTTTAGCGTACGCTAAAGTTCGTACATAGTCCTTATGTGTCCGTAACGTCGACATACAAAAGCCTTTAGGGGCATTCCATACCTTTACAGTCGTATCCGACGATGCGCTAATTAAGTTTTTTCCGCCGCAACATAACACTATATCGTTCACCCAATCAGTGTGGTGTTCCATACTCTGGATGTACCGGTCTTGGACTCCATTCGCAGTACTCCAAACCCGAATAATTCCATCCCTGCCGGCCGAATATAGTCGGCCCTGTATTGGATCGAGTTGCAATGAACTAACACCATTTTTATGCCGCCGTTCCTCCTCGTCTCTGATCACGAACGACACTTGAGTTTTCTTACGCATCGTGCCCATTTTCCGACATTGTAAATTAGAATTTGACTAATATTTCTTACACTTTTGTTGGGATTATCGCAAAATTCTTGAGATTTGTTTCAGAATTGTTTGACATTTGCGTTTGACAGTTTAAGGAAAATGGCTGTTTAGCTACGATTGGTTGTTTACTAAGACATATTATCTCTAGACTGATCTTAAAAAAAGGAACAGCTAAACGTATACTTCAATTTATTCGCACTCACTTGCTCGACTCATATGATAGAACGAGATAGCATTAGCGTGCCTACGCCATCTTGAAAGGCCGCGCGGCGTCAGCCGACCAGTTGATGTACTCTGGTAGTCAGCTGGACGTATAGAAGTCGAATGTGTTTTTTGAAGATTTCTCTAAAATTACACTTTGTTTTGTTGGTGTTTGTGTTAAAAAACATTACAAAATGCCTATTTCGTGTGCTGTTCGTGGTTGTTTGAGCCAACAGGGTATATTAAATGAAAATGGACAAAAAATATCCTTCCATCGGTAAGTCGTAATAATAACATTCGCTGATTTATGTAATATTGAGTCATATTTTAATTAACAAACAATGACAATTTGTAGTTTTGTTTGTTGGTAGTTAGCTAGGCAGCGTTTGGTACCTGTAACTAGTAAAATAATAATGTATTGCTGTTTTGTTCATTGACTGCGCGATTTTGTGACAAATGAAGTACCATGGAATTTTTAACGCAGTGATGTACCGTATTACCTTGCTATCGATAAGTTTATCGATATGTTTCGCCATAGTATTAATTTTGAAAACACATAATACGTTTCAATGTGGTATTTATTTTTATGTAGTGAGTTAAGAAATCAGTCGGTTAAGTATTAACTATCATAGCTAACAATATAAATGCTAAAATGCGTTTGTATATTTGTTTATTACATCTTCACGCTTTATTTACTAATTATATCTGCTAGTAATATTGCACACTCGTGGTTTGAAATATATGTATATTCAAGGCTCATATAAATATGTACAATCCCTTACACTGCTATTTAATTAGTACAATTCTTTTAGAAATAGTTTTAGTCTATTAGTATATGTTACATAACTATGAAGTCTATGATTATATAACTTTCCCATACAAACTGATATCGAAATATGGTAAGAATTTTACAAATGGAAAAATAATCTCAGTGGTTTAATATGGAAAAACTATTTTTATTTTTTATATTTCAATATCTGGTTGCATGGTAAGTTGTTTAGTATCATGACTTGAAGTGACCCTTAAAAGGGTTGTGTTAATTAAAAAACTAGGGTGAATAGTTTTATGTTATCTATATGTATCTTTGTACAATTTTCTTTTGCTGAACAAATAAATAGTATTATATAGAATCATAGGGCCATAGGGGACTGGTCTTCTTGGTATCTTTGAGACCACTATTTTTAGTTATATTTGTTTCTTTTCTTTCATTATACACATGACAATGCCCTTCAGGCGAGTAGGGAAAGCTCTTCAGGCGAGTAGGCGACTGTATACTGTGAAGTTTCTTTCGGCGTTATCTTCTTCACAGTTGGTCGGTTCTGATACGCTAGTAGATTGTAGATTTTCATGCTTCATTTAAAATTTAGAATTAATATTAATACTCCTAATACTTCTATGTAAATTGACGTGAAATATTGCTTGTAAAAACCTATTTTTTAAATAAACGTTTGAATCTATGTACCTATATCCCTAAAAAGAAATGGGTCATATCATAATATTACTTTAATCACATCATTATATTGTATTTTTTTTTATGCTATTGCAGATTTCCAAAAGATGATCAATTGAAACAAAAATGGCTCAGGAATATGCGACGTGATGATTGGACACCTTCAAAATTTTCGAGATTGTGTTCGCTTCACTTTGAACCTTGTTGTTATCGTGAAGGATTAGATAAAAAAATCTTACATTCATATGCAGTACCAACGATTTTCACTAATCAGCCAACTATAAAAGAGGTTAGTTAAGAATCTTGTTGCCTATTTTTACTGATTTTTTTCAGCTTGGCTTTCTCTCATATAAGCGCATTCCCGAATGCATTTCATCCTGGCGTATACATATCCTATTATTTGACGAAGTTACGAAATTTTGCAGATAGCAACTGTTGTCTGAATTGGCTCCGGTAATGTTGTGCTAACCCTCGTTTTTTTACGATCTTTAGACTAACGATCTGCACCTAAAGATTAGCTACTGGCACATTCTATTTTTTTCCCTCTGCAAGACCAGCATAGGAATTTTAAGTTTTACAACAAGAAAAAAATTGAATACGCTCCTTTTGATTTTCACTTGCGTGCTTTTAATTTATACCTTTTTAAAAATTTTTGAATACAGAGCTAATATATGTATTGATTATTACAATTTCAGAAAATTCCAGTAAAACGACGAATTATCATGAAAACTGCAAGTACAGCATCTACTTCTGCTGTCGATGAATTTAAAGAAAATGTAAGTTATTTTTATGAAACAACTTGCTTAGCATGGTAGCCTAAGTTCTTTTTCAAGTCAAAGATTTACTTGTGGCAGAGCCATGCTAATAGCATATCTGAGTTTTGATTGTAGCACGAATGGACCGTCTCGTCCAGGGAAGTACCACAGTCTCACAGAAAAACGAAATCTGAATAGTTGCTTTATCGCTTCTATACTTGGGTCGGTGAAACAGCTTGAGGTCCACCACCTTTCACCAATCCCTACTCCCTTTCCTTAGAAAGGCCAACAACTTTTTGCCATGCCTCTGGTCCATTGGCAGTGGTAATCATTTATCATCCAGGTGACTCAATTGCAAGTTGGTCGCCGCTTGACTTAAAAAAAGGCAACCACCCAGCCTTCTTCAAGATCTAACTTCATTGTGCCGTTTTTGCAAGATTGATTCATTGTAATAGGGTTTATAGTGGATTTATAGTGATTGTATATTCATTTGAAATAGAGTTATGTAAACCCTTTTGCGCAGGAGCTATATTTGTCAAAAAAAGAGGTATACCCACACCAAAATTATTTTTACAAAAAAAAAATATTGTCTTTATTGATATGTATCATATTATTAGACCAAATCATAATGAGACCTTTTATTGTTTCAGATTAAACCAATAAAACGAAAGGTTGTGGAAGAAGAATGTTATCCAATTACGAGCTCTGCTGTAGCTTCCACTTCTACTACGCCTTTTATTTCACTATGTGCAGACACAAGTGAAGTAAGTCTTACTATTTATGCAAATAAAAACTTTATGATACTAGCTGTTGCCCTCGGCGACAGTGTGCTTTTTTTGAGTTCTTTTTAGGTCATAGGCAACATGCATGCCAAATTCCATACAAAGCCGTTCAGCCGTTCTTGCGAGATCGAATAACAACTGACACCAATAAATGGTGTCAGTCGTTTAGCTTTTAGGGCCGAACTACATGATCGATCGTTTACCAACCAAACAGTTTAGTTGGTTGTTTAAAATCCTTGCGTCAATACTACTTGACTTCTTCTACTACTACTGATTTGACTAGGAGTGCGCACATGGTGACCGACCAGCTTAATGGGAACCGCGTGAGCACGCCAAAACTGCCCTATGGATTTTAGACAACCAACTAAACTGTTTGGTTGGTAATCGATCGGTCGTGTAGTTCGGCCTTTAGAAAGAGGATAGAGACACACTCTAGTTTGACACCTTAAAGTAGAATATATTGCAAATAATTCTCTGAATCATACTCGAATTTTTTACTTATATATATATATATATATATATAAGGTGAGGTTCTCTACACTAAGCTGAGGTTTATTTCTCTCATTTTCGCAGTCGTCACACAATATATGCTTTAGTAATATAACATAATAGTTATTTTTTTTATTTTTTTCCAGGTTGCCAGACTGCAGTACACAACTGAAAGGCTCCCTGGAACACGTGATGTAAATTCTTTAAAGAAACAATTGACACATTATAAAACGTTAGCGGAAAGGCGTGGAAGAAAACTAAAAAATTTGCAAAGAAAACAGCAAAGAACTGCAAAGAAAATCGTTAATTTAGAGACTATTATAAAAGATTTAAAATCAAAATTAGAGGGAGAGCAATTAATAATGTTACAAAGTAGCATGTCTTTGGACAACAAAATTTTATCTAGATATATAATGAAATCCCAAGGATATTCGTTATCCAAAGAATACCCTATTGAAATAAAAAAATTTGCTCTTACCCTACAATTTTTATCGCCCAAAGCTTATGAACACGTAAGGAATAGTTTTAATACAGTACTTCCTCATCCAAAAACTTTGTCACGGTGGTATAAATCTGTTGATTGCCAACCAGGATTTACAACAGAATCTTTAGAAACAATAAAGGTGCGTTGTAAACTTGCTAAAAAAAAGTTGTACGCGTCACTTTCAATTGACGAAATGGCCATCAGAAAGCACGTGCAATGGGACGGAACAAAATGTCATGGCTATGTAGATTTTGGTGCAGCCATTGATTCACCTAGCGATGATTCGCCACTGGCAACGGAAGTTTTAGTTTTCATGGTAACGTGCATAAATGAAGCATGGAAAATACCTGTGGGCTATTTTTTAATAAATGGTTTGTCTGGTAGCCAAAAAGCAAATCTAGTAACTCAGAGTATTAGGTTACTAAGTGACACAGGCATTACAGTTATTTCTTTAACTTTCGATGGCGCACCGGCGAACGCGTCAATGGCAGCTCATTTGGGATGTAATTTAACAGAAAACGAAATTGTTTCTAATTTCAGAGTAGGAGAGAATGAAGTGGCAATTCTATACGACCCATGCCACAATATTAAATTAGTAAGAAATGCCTTAGGTGAAAAAAAGAGTTTCCTTGATAAAGATAATAAAGAAATATCTTGGGTTTATTTAGAAAAGCTCCAAGAAGTGCAGTCAATTAATTCACTGCATGCCGCCAATAAAATTTCTGCAGCACACATTGATTACCACACACAAAAAATGAAGGTAAAATTGGCAACTCAGTTACTGAGCAACTCAGTTGCTGATGCATTAATATCATGCAGAAATCTAAATATCGAGGGCTTTTCTGATTGTGAACCGACAGTCAAATTTATAAAACATTTTAATGACTTGTTTGACATACTAAATTCGCGCAATTTGGCATCTCACGGTTATAAAAAACCGCTTCT